AGTTAATTATGATGTGCCTGGGGGATGTCTTGTTTGGGTTGAGTCATGCTGGGGTTCTGAAACTATCTGCTATCTGAATTTCAGAATCTCTTGGCATGTCTGGAAAGTTCTCTTTCATAATTTCATGAAGAAGAGCCTCTGTACTTTGTGAAGCAACTTCATCACCTTCAGGGATTCCTATAAGGTGAATATTAGTTTTCTTTGAGTTATCTGAGAGCTCTCTGAGAGTAAGATCCGTTTTTAATCACCATTTATTTTGGTCTTTGTGCTCCTGGGTTTCTTCAAAAGCTTTGTCTTCAACGTCAGAGATCCTTTCTTCTGTGTATTGCACTCTGTTACAGAGGGATTCCACGGTATCTTTCAGATCCTTGAGGGCTGCAACCTCTTGCCTCAGTGTTTCAAACTCTTTGGTCATTTTATCTTTGAAATCATTGAATTCTTGAGACACCTTTTGAATGATTTCTTGAGATATCTTTGAATAATTTCTTGAAATTCTAATTGCCTCTTTTCTTTCATTCTGTAAATCTCATTTGCTATCCAAATTCTGAACTCGATTTCTGACTTATCAGCCATTTGCTTGTGGATGGGATCTTCAAATGCTTCTGCGCCATCCTTCTTTGGGGGACTTGATCTACTCTGGTTGTTCTGGTTACCAGAGTTTTTCCACTGATTCTGCCCCATGGTGAGTTTGCACCGTTTGGAGACTATCCCAAAACTCTTCAGCCTGTGGCTGCCACTGGCGAAAACCCAAGCAGCAGGCACTGGAGGGGGATGTGCTGGTCAAACAGTCTTCAGGGTGCCTCACTCAGGTGCCCAGGGCGTTGTGGCCAAGTGGCAGCCACTGCAGGGGGATTCGCAGGTCAAACAGTCTTCAGGGCGCCTGGCTTGGGTGCCCAGGGGGCTGTGGCCAAGCAGTGGCAGCCTAAGGATATGCACTTGTCAAACAGTCCTCAGCATGTCTGGTGTGGGTCAAATGGTCCTTGGGGGGCCGTTCAGGTGCCCCAGGTATGGTGGCCAAGCAGCAGCAGCTGCAGGGGGATGCACAGGTCAAACAGTCCTCAGGGCACCCCACTCGGGTGTCTGGGGGGTGATGGCAGCCGTGGGGGATGTGTGGGTCAAACAGTGCTGGGAGCTCCCCCTCAGGTTCCCAGGGGCAGCTGCCAATCAGCAGCAGCCACGCAGGTCAAGCAGTTCTGGGTGCGCCATGCTCAAGTACTCAGGGGTGATGACTGAGTGGGGCAAACAATCTTAGGGGTGTCCTACTCGGGAATCTGGGGGCTGTGGCCAAGCAGCAGCAGCCCTGCAGGTCGGATAGCAGCAACTCAGATAGCAGCAACTCAGGGGTGATGACTGAGTGGGGCAAACAATCTTAGGGGTGTCCTACTCAGGAATCTGGGGGCTGTGGCCAAGCAGCAGCAGCTCTGCAGGTCCTCCACCACTCAGGTGCCTGGGAGTAGCCACAAGGCGGCAGGTGCGCAGGCATTGCGCAGCTCAGAGTCCTGGGGCGCCTCACTCGGGTTTCCGGGAGGCAGCGGCCAAGCAGCGGTAGCCAGGGACACACAGGTTGAATACTCCTCCGGGCGCCCAGCTTGGGTGCCCAGGAGGCTGCAGCCGAGCGGTGGCAGCCTAGGGGGAGCAGCAGCTGCTGCAGGGAGATGCACTGGTCAAACAGTCCTCAGGGCATCCCACATGGGTGCCTGGGGAGTCGTGGCCCAGCGGTGGCAGACACCGGCAACCCACGGTGGAACAGTGCTGGGAGCACCCCTCTCAGGTTCCTGGGGCGGCTGCCAATCAGCGGCAGCCGTGAAGGTCAAATGGTCCTGGGCACTCCCTGTGTGAGAGGGCCAGACCAGCACCATTTTGTTGTTTACTGCCTAAGTTCTGTTCCTCATTTTGAGCCCCCGCCGCCATCTTAGATAATAAGCTTCAGCTTCACCAAAACCCTGGCCTTTCCCCGAAATCAAGCACCCCAGTCAGCCAATCAGAAGTGCTCCCCACCCTTCTTGCTTCATACCACCCTAAAACCCCAGTTAGGAAATCCCCCACCCCTCATACCTGTACCAATCCAGAGCCTCCCCGTACTTCCCCAAACCCTGACCACCAATCACCCCCACTTCCCCATGCACCCACCACCAATCAAAAATGTACCCCACCCTTCTTCACCCTTCTTGCTTTCTGTACCCTATAAAACTTTCCAACCCCTAGGCTTGTGGCCTTCCTTGGTATGTTTGCCAAGAGAGGGTCCGAGCTTGAGCTTGCTAAATAAAGCTCGCCTCTTGCTTTTACATCGGAGTGTGTCTCGGTTCGTGGGCTCGGGGACTCAGGGAAATTCTAGGTACAACATGTGCAGGTGCCCAGGGGTGGTGACCAAGTGGGTCAAACTGTCTTAGGGGTGCCCCCCTCGGGTGTCTGGGGGCAGTGGCCAAGCGGCGCCAGCCACATGGGTCAAACAGTCCTCCACCACTCCGGTGCCTGGGGGCAGCTGTGTTGGGGTTGCGCGGGTCAAACAGTTCCCGGCTTGTGTGCCCAGGGGGCTACAGTCAAGCAGCAGCAGCCTAGGGGGACACGCAGTTCAAATAGTCCTCTGCGTGCCTGACTCAGGTGACCAGGGTTGACGGATGAGCAATAGCGGTTACACAGAGGACGTGTGGGTCAAACAGTCCTGTGCGCACCTCACTTGGGTGCCGGCAGCAGCAACTAAGCAGCAGGCGCCCTGCAAATCGGACAGTCTTCCACCACTTGGGTGCCCAGGGCAGCCATAAAGCGGCAGCTGCATGGGGGAAACGTGGGTCAAACAGTCTTGGGGCGCCCCGCTCAGGTGCCCAGAGGGCTGAGGCCAAGCGGCGCAGACTAGGGGGGCACGCGATTGGAGCAGTCCTCCACGTGCCTGCTTGAGTGACCGGGGTTGGCCGAGCAGTCACAGCTATGCAGGGGACACACGGGTAAAACCGTCCTGGGGGCACCTCGCTAAGAAGCCCTGGAGTGGCTGCCAAGTGGCAGCAACTGCAGCTCAAACAGTCCTCAGTGTGCCCCAATCGGGTGCCTGGGGCAGCAGCCAAGTAGCAGCAGCTGTGCGGGTAGAACAATCCTCTGCCACTCAGGTGTGGATGAGCAGCCAGGAAGTGGTAGCTGCTTGAGGGTGGGGGTGGGGGAGTCAAATAGTCCTGGGGCGCCCCCCTCGGGTGCTCAGGGGGTTGCGGCCAAATGACAGCAGCCTAGGAGGACACGCAGGTCGAATAATCCTCAGCACTCCCCACTGGGATGCCCAGGGGCAGTGGGCCGAGTGGCAGCTGGGGGGGATGAGGGGGAACACGCAGCTCCAGCAGTTCTCTGGCTGCAGGGTCGCGACAGGGTGCTTGGTCCCATGGGTGAGGGGCTGCTACTCTTGGGCCTCCTCTCACTGTCTCTGCAGGCAAGGAGGGAAGGGTGGACTGGGAATTCAAAATGGTCGTGCAGCATTAGTTCGATTTTTCTGCCTAGCTAGAGGGTGTTTAGAGTCTCAACAAGGTCCCTCTAGAGGAGTAGACCCCTCTTTCTGTAGCTTTCACATGTAGGGTGAGACAATAAGTCCTCAGTTCACCACTCAACTGTAGGAAACTCATAGGAGCAGACAAAGGGGAAAAAACGCACCTTTCTTGGGGGCGGGGTCAGATATCCGTCCTTCAGGATGTATTATGTACCTGTAGGCTGCTTTCTAGGAGACGCAACTTGCCTCAGCAGAGATGTCCTGCAGATGTCTTTTTTCTCTCTCAGCTGGGCTCCTAGTTTTCAACTTTGTTGTGTTTTGCCTGGACTTTATCCTTTCCTCTGGACAGGAGCTTCTGTCAGAAGCTGGTACCTATCAGCCATCTTGCCTTTTTGTTTCCCTAGCTTCAATTTTCACATTCAATAAGAACATGGGGGAATGGGGGATGATGGCTGAATGCAGCTAGTTTTCAACAAAAACTGCAGTCCAGGGGGAGAGATAACAGCCAGAAAAAACCCAATGAAGCTGAAGGAGGAGAGCCAAGCTGAAAGAAGAGATATATAAATGCATGTCTTCCCTACTGAGGCAAGCCACGACTTCAAGGAAACAAATTTCAGGTACAGAATTCATCCCAAAGAGGACATGTGTCCATCCCCTCCTCCTAGAGTGTTGCTTGCTTGCTGTGGGATCTCTACTAGTGAGCAATGAATTGAGGTTCTCTTCCTACACCCCACTAGAGAGAATCACCGGAAGCTGAGTCTCCTCCAGAGAGCCCATGCTGGGAGCCCAGGAATTCTCTTGTTCAGCAGAAAATTTGAACAAATATTTTCCCTACCACTCTGAACTTCCAGTCTACCCTTCCCCCCTGGCCTGGTGGTCTAGGAATCCAACCCCTGCAAAAACCAGAATGTCTGCATTTCTTGGCTAGGACTTCGTATTGCATAGATGGAGGCAGTGCAGCTTTGCTGTATTAGTGAATCCAGTAATAGCGCAGAAAGTCATAGAGGGAAAGGTGCCTGGCCTGGCTCTGAGAAAGTGTATCCTAGCAGCGGGTGGAGGATTGGGTCTCTGCACTATGGGTGGAGATTCAGAAATTGCTGAGGTGCATGAACCCAACTGGAAACACTTCCCACCCAACATCAGCATTAGTACAGTGACCTCACTGGGGTCTAATTTTGGAGAGTCACCTCCCCAACTCTCTGGTCTGCCAGAGGGAACAAGACCTCACCCTAAAGTGATACCAGAGCTACAGAACAGAGGTGACAAAGGTGGTTGAGGGAGAAACTCTTTTACTGTCTGGATATTCTCAGGTTTAGATTGAGTTCAGGTCGAACATTCTCCAGCTGCCATTGAGTGCCTGAGGCAGACAGGCTTCAGCTCCCTCTGCTGGCTGGTGACAAAGAATGGTAACCAAGTGGAGGAGGCATTGACTTTACTTTGACTCTGGCAGGCACAAAGCCCAGGCATACTTGCTTATTGGATAGAACTGGGCCACAGAGTCTGGGTTAACAGAGACTGGTGGTGGGGTTACCAGAGACTGGGGCTACCAGAATCTGGTGGTGAAGGGTGAGCAAGGTGGGGAAAGAAGCATCAGCCCCTTGCTCCACACCTTCTACTGGATGGGCCTTTCTGACTCCTTGGAGCACCAGAGTGAGCCACACTTGAGCTACCAGTAGACTCCTATTATCTAGTTGCTGGAGACCTTTTGAGTTTTCCAGCTAGAGAGTGGGTACTGATTGGGTCAGTAGGTTTGGAACTCTTGGACTGGGCAAATTAACTGAGGACCCTCCAAGATGGTATCCTGGTTCTCTTGTTGTGGGAGGGTTTGACTTTCCTCTTCCAGGTATTACCTATGGGGGATGGGTTGTCTTAGTTGCTGGTATTTCTCCAAAACTGAGACTGCAACACAGAGTCACTGATTAACTAGGTTTGGACAGGGACCAGCTAATACAAAGCAGACCCACCTACCCCCTCTACACCAAGCAGGCCTCTAGAGTCACAGACTGTAGTACTGTTCAGATCCTTTGCAAAATTGTAGAGGAAAAGCTATAGTCACCAGTCCCAACTTTTTGGTGAAGAGCTGGTTAATCACAACCCCAGAAGCCTCAAATCCAATTTCAGCTTACCTGCTCATCTAGCTAAACAGTGGAAAACAACCATGGGGTGGAATCATAGGAAAAACTCTGGCAACATGAATAATCAGAACAGTTCAACTCCCCCAAGGAATGACAAATCAGCCAAACTACAGGATACAATTCACAAACAGATGGCCGAGATGTCAGAAATCAAATTTAGAATTTGGATTGCAAAGAAGATCAACAGAATGGAAGTAAAGTTGCAATTACAAATTCTAGGAATAATTCAAAAGATGTCTCAAGAATTCAATGAATTCAAAGACAAAATCACCAAAGATTTAGACACATTGAGAAAAGAAGTTGCAGCCTACCAAGATATGAGAAATACAGTAGAATCCCTCAGTAACAGAATGGAGCAGGCAGAAGAAAGGATTTCTGACCTCGAAGACAAAGCTTTTGAACATCCCCAAACACTCAAAGAGGAAGAGAAGTGGAGAACAAAAACAGATTATTCCGTCAGAGAGCTCTGGGATAATTTGAAGAAAACTAATATTCGCCTCATAGGAATTCCCAAAGGTGATGAGGTTGCTTTCCCAAATGGCACAGAGGCTCTACTTCATGAGATAATGAAGGAGAATTTCCCAGACATGCCAAGAGATTCTGAAATTCAGATAGACAGCTTCGAACCCCAGCACAACTCAATCCATCTCCGAGGCACATTTTAATTAATTTTGCCAAAGTTAATATGAAGGAGAAAATTCTACAAGCAGTCAGACATAAGAACACCATAACCTACAAGGGGAAGAAGATTAGAATGACTGCAGATCTCTCTCTGAAACCTTTCAAGCTAGAAGAGGATGATCATCTACCTTCAACCTCCTAAAACAAAACCATTTTCAACCGAGGATACTGTACCCAGCTAAACTGAGTTTCATTTATGATGGAGACAGTAAATACTTTAATGACATTCACTTGCTAAAGAAATTTGCAATCACTAAACCAGCTCTCCAGGATATTCTCAGGCCCATCCTCCACAATGACCACCACAACATTTTACCACCAAGTAAACTCACCCAGAAAATTTTGATCAAAACCCAACTTCACAGTGGCAAAAGGATTAAAAATGCCCTCTAGATCTTTGAAAAAATTGACACACAAAATAATACCAGGCTTATCACTACTCTCAATCAATGTGAATGGCTTAAACTGCCCTATAAAGAGGCACAGGATGGCTGACTGGACACAAAAACTCAGGCCAGATATCTGCTGCATACAAGAATATCACCTTACCTTAAAAGATAAATATAGACTTAGGTAAAGGGATGGTCATATATAATTCAGGCAAATGGAAAACAGAAAAAAGCAGGAGTGGTGATTTTATTTGAAGATGCATTAGACTTTAAACCAACAAAAGTAAGGAAAGACAAGGATGGTCACTTCATGTTTTTTAAGGGAAACACTCAATATGATGACATTTCAATTATTAACATTTATGTGCCCAACCTAAATGCTCCTCAATTTATAAGAGAGACTCTAACTGAAATGAGCAACTTGATTACCTCCAGCACAATAATAGCCAGAGATTTCAACACCCCTTTGGCTGTGTTGGATAGATCCTCCAACAAGATACTAAGCAAAGAAATTTGAGACTTAAAATTAACCATCCAACAATTGGATTTAACAGACATACACAGAACATTTCATCCTAACAAAATTGAATACACATTTTTCTCATCAGCACATGGAACATCCTCCAAAATTGATCACATCTTAGGTCACAAGGCTAACCTCAGCAATTTAAAAAAATAGAAATTATCTCTTGTATCTTCTCGGACCATCATGGAATAAAAGTTGAACTCAGTAACAACAGGAATCTGCAATCTCACACAAAGATGTGGAAATTAAATAATCTTATGTTAAACAATAGCTGAGTCATTGATGAGATTAAGAAAGAAATTACCAAATTTTTGGAGCAAAACAATGAAGAAAACATGAACTACCAGAACCTTTGGGATACTGCAAAGGCAGTACTAAGAGGGAAATTTATAGCACTGCAAGCCTTCCTCAAGAGAATGGAAAGAGAGGAAGTCAACAACTTAATGGGACATCTCAAGCAACTGGAAAA